TTCCGGTTTATCATTCATCAATGGGTAAAATTCCGGAATTACTAGAAAATGTAATTTTGACTGGTTACTGTACTTATCGTGTGCTCATTGCTATTCATCTCATTACGCCAAAATGCTAAATATGCATCAGAAAATGATGTTTACGGATGGATTGAAAATCATAATGGCGTAAGTTTAATTTTGATATTTTACGTAAAAGAAAAGTTAATAAGTGAATTTGAAATTTAGTTGAAATATGCTAAATTAGTATGTTTAAATTAGGATAATTATAAATTTAATGAAGTATGAAATGTATTTTAAATTAGCATCATTCAATCATAGATAAACAGAATTCAGAATCATATGATCCTGAATTCTGGATTACTGCTTGATTATTCAAGCAGTATAGTAAAACAATGAACTATTCCATTTCATTACTTTATAAAGATAAATGAACAAAAGAAAGAAAAACAAAAATTATTTAAATGAAAAATAAAAGTAAGTCATTCATATTGCTGTCTTCTCTTCACTTCCAGAATAACATTTAGCGCCCAAATTTGAGGATAATAGCGCCATTTTTAACTTAACAAAAAATTATTCAATGCAACTTTCCTCTTTCAGCTGAGCTTGAAATTGCATCTGCTATAATGGCAATGATCGGTTTACTATCCGGTCAACGATTTATATTCTGTTTTACAGTATTCTTCTTTATACTACGTACTGCTATTATATTACGGTTGTAACCATCGATCTGTATACTGTAAAACTTTTCTTCCATTATTTACAAAATAGTGTTGTTTGCTTTTCGGATATCTCATTCCGGTTATGATTAGGTATACATCGTAGATTGTAGAATGTTCATATGGATGAGAAAAAAAGAAGCAAATAGATAACACAGCAATTAAATTTAAAATATTAGCTAATTCATTTGAATGTTACAAAAAAAATTAAGGTAATTAATTACTCAGTCAGCTAATTTTAGCTAATTAATTATTTACAATAATTTACTTTCGTCACCATTACTGAGTTAAAGTTAACTTCTACTTTCCGTACAAGTTAACCTGATCATTTTCTATATTCAAGCTTTCATCCGGAAAATCAATCAGTTGTATCACAAGTGAACATTTCTCGGCCGATGTACTCTACAACTGTAAATGGAGCGATGCTTTCATCCTTATTCAAGACGTACTCACGCTTATCTCACTCGTAAGTCTTTCTCTAGTTTCACGTCTTTACGCTTCCACACACGCAAAAAAAAAGAACGAGACTTTTTATAAACGGTGAAAAAGTAAACATAATTTAATTCTATATTAGCACCTCATTGTTAATCTTAACAATATTCATTAGCATATTTTTGTTTATTATTTCTTTCATTAGCAGATGAATGTTTTTTTTTTTTTTTTTTTTAAATAAATTACAGAAATTTGACAATTTCAAAAAAAAAAAATTATTATTTTATCAAAATTTATACCTAAAAAAAAAAATAAATTTTACAGAGAAAATATTATCTTATAGATTCTAATGTCTGTTGTTGTCTTCCTTCGATTGTTTTGTTTCATACCTGAACGAAACGATATTGGAAATGATCCGATTGATGAGAATTATATTGAACAGAATGAAAAGATCAAATTACCATTCTTTATTAGCTATAAGAATCAAATGGAAAATAATGAACAGAATTATAAATATAATATTAATTACAATGATAATCCATATAAAACATCTGTAATTTAAAAAAAATTTTTTATCGATTTATAGTTTTACAGTTTTATAAATTTTCTCTCTTCACTTTTTTTTTTTCTTGGTATCAAATATCAAATGATATGATAAGACGTTATACGTATGCAATACGTACGTGAATAATTATTGCAACACGTCTGTTAAAATACGTTAGCATTTTTTTTTTTTGATGAAAAAATCATTTTTTGATCGAGAATGAAAGAAGTAATTATTGTTAAAGAACTGATAAGAAAAAGTGATGAAAATGTTATCAAATAAATGAAAAATATCATTATTGATAAGGAAAGTAAAACAATTTGATTAAGTTAGCATTAATTTAATAAATCGTTTAATCTAGCATTTACGTAAATAACTTTAGTCATAAAATTCTCTGCCACAATAGCATACGTCACGTCTACTACGTCATTTGTTAAATTAAAACATATTTCAAAAAAGAAAAGATCATTCGCTTTGCTTTTAAAAATTTTAATTCAAATCATTCAAACCGCTCAAATTTGTTAAATTACTGTGAAAAATTCAATTGATAACTTTTTTTTTTTTTTCATTTACAATTATTCATTTCATTAACTAATATATAATTAACCTAATTTTTTGTGATTATATCAGTAAGTTATCAAAATTGTAATGAATAATTAAAGAAAAGAAATTCAATTTTGAAGCATTGATAATTTTCGAATTGATTGACCTATGCAAAAATTCAAACAGTGTCCTTTTTAAATTGCTTGTACTTAAATTTTTAGTAAAAATCTAAATTATCTAAATCTAAATTCTAAATTAAAATCTAAATTCCAAACTAAAAAGTAAAAATCTAAATTTTCACTCATCAATTTTTCCGCTCTTAAGCTCGGTTCAAATTTAAAATTCATCCAAATTGATTAAATTTTTTCGAAATTTTACGTTTAATTAGCTGATCAGTTGATCAGATTTATAATTTAATTAAATCCAAATAATTATTACAATGATGTAGCATTTCGTATTTTTTCTTGATTTTTTGAGACGGAAATACTAGAACAATGTTTTTGTAACAGGAAAACGAATGAAAGAAAACAGAATTATTTCCGGATTAGTTCGTACTATGATATCTAGATTTATCAGACATTGAAAAGTAAGTTTTATCTTACATGTCAAAATTGAACCAAAACTAAACCAAATTAATTTTATTTATCAAAGGCAATACCGCTTGATTCAAAAAGAAAAAAAAAAAAGATGCAGTCGAACATCACTCCTTATAAACCGGATCTTATATCAGTTCCGGTTTTCAAAAGATGCATAAAGCTTATTTCCAGGAAATATTTTATGACCAACAATAATACATTCATTCATTTAACCACAACATTGATACAATGTTTCATCGTCCGGACATTTACATAACTCTCGATGCTTGAATTCTAATTTGAATTTCATTTCCTATAAAATCTTACAATTCAAATTTTTTTTTTTATTCTACACAACAATTTCGCTTAAATAAGCGCTTTTGTCCGTGTCATCTGTTCATCGTGCATTCAATGATTTCATCTCATAAATTCTCAATCCAAATTGTGAGTTCTTATCCCCGCTAATCCTCACAAAATTAATCCTTAATCTCGAAATTATCTCGAATCTCGACGATTGATTTACGATTTGAGAATAATTTACGTAAATAATCTTAAGATGGTCATCTCTTACGATATTTTCAATTTGCAAATATCAAATTTCAAAAGGAATCATTTTTCAATTTGTTTATTTTGTCTGGAAGTGCTTCACAAACCATTCTGAAGATATTTGCTTTTAATGGATGATAGGTGGAATCTGGAATGACATAGCATACTTACTTGGCTATTTTTGCTAAAAAATAACAATTAAATTGACTTATTTACTTATAACATTAGACTCTTATAATTTCCACAACAAAATACCAAAAGGTAGATATAAATAATGCCGGAACCGGAAATACCGGAACAGAGCTATCAACTTTCCTGGTAATAAAAGGAAATTTGCGCTGAATTCCACTTCGACATTTCTAATTGCAAAACATCCATATTTTTCTCTTTTGCAATCTCTCAACTAATTCCTCTTTTCTGTTTAACGAATTTAGCTGAGATTTTTGAATTATGAATAAATTGCAGGTGGCAACTACTTCACATTCATACACATACACTCACTCACATACACATACATGTCATCACACACTCACATACACACATACACGTAAACGCACACATACGTAGAAATGCACAACATAGGTAGATGTCAAATGACATGAGTAATACTTTTAACTTACATTTTTAATCTCATTTTGCTGTTATTATTTTTATAATTGTTTTGACGTAACTACCGATCATAATTGCGTCATTATTTCTGCGTAAGTAAATCTTTGAGTTCGTTGAGTACACGTTTCCCTTTATTGGACATAACGTCATTAGCTTAAATTACTGATACAATTTGCAATTCGACAAGTAATGTGACACTTTCTTGACAATTCAACTTTAACAACAATCAAATTTTTTTTTCCTTTTTACAGAGAGAATAATTTCAACTAATATTCTTCTTTCAACGAATTTTTTTTTTTTTTTTTTTTTCATTCATATATTTAATTTAAAATCAAACAATGATTTAATTTTTGCTAGCTGTAATCAATTGATGTATTTGTGCTAATTTAATTAATTAATGTTACAATGACGCAGAAAAGCGCAGTTATGGAATATTTCAATCTCTCTCTGTCCCTCTCTCTCCCTCTCTCTCGCCCTGCCCCCTCTCTCTCTCCCTCTCCCTTACATATGACAAAATTGTTTTTGAATATGAAATTGTTTAGCTTTAGAATTTCTAATTCATTTGACGACTGCTTCATTTCCACTTTTTTTTTTTTTTTTTTTAATTAATTCTCTTATTACTTTACATTTGTATAATTTCACAAACATTTCTAGTATTTCCGTCATAGAAAGACGTTGAAGTGAAATTAGAATATCACGCATACGTCATTACGTCTTTACGTTAAATTGATAATCTAACACAAAAACGTCAATTAGTCAAAGCCAAAAATTTTGCAAAAATTTAATCAATTTTTGATAAATTTCAAATTTTAGCTGAGCATATGAATTGGAAAAATGACTGATTGAGAAATTAAAACTAAAATTTCTAACGATATAAAATTTTTCAAAAATTTAGCATTTTCTCTTTTAGAATAGATTAGCTAATTTAGTGATATTAATTTTATTTTTGCATAAAAATTAAAAAAGAATTTAAAAATTAAGCATATAAAATTTTCCGAATTTTTATAAAATTTTCCGGATTTTCACAGCAAAAAGTCGTTCAACCTGATAACAATAAATTCTTTTTTCTAATTTTTCAATTCATTTTTTTTTAAATAAAATAGCCAAGTTCAATGCAAAATTTATATTATAATAAGAGATAATTTGCTGAGAAGAAAGCATAAGCCGAATCATTCATTTCTCTTCTGGAAATATCTTTATGATCTAATCTCTATCGCATTTTTTCTTTTAAATTTTTCATTTAAACTTCTAAATCATTCCTTTACGGTTTTATCAATTAGTAATTTCCTGTTTTACTGAATTGTTTCTGAAATAGCTCTGAATTTCTTCCATTACCTCATTTGCTTAAATTTACCACTTTGAAATTTGAATTAATTTGAAAATATTCAATGAAAGAAGTAATAATTATTATGGTTTTTGGTTTTTATTTTTTATTTTATTGAAATTTGAAAAGTACATTGTGTAAAAGAAATATTTTCTAAGAATTTAACGATAAAATTATTCTTTTCTATTTTCTATTTCAGTTCTTTTAATTTCAGTTAAATCCATCCTATTTTCTAATCTTAATTATTCATAACGATCAAATTAGAAATTTATAATGATTTATAAGTATAAATCATCTTTTTAACTATATAATAACTCAACAAATTTATTCTAAAAACAATCGATAATTTTTTCTTTTTTAGAAAAGAATAAAAAACTTATCATTAGCACATCGTTATTTCGTTTCTATTTAACTTTCAAAAAAAAAAAAAAGTGAGTAATTGTATTTAATTTTGTCAGTTGATGCTGCGCAAATGTCATAGCTACTAAATTGAATAACTAATTAGCAGCTCTCTTGTGAACAAAGTATTTGTTTTTGTTGTACTGCAAAGTGGAACAAGTAAAATTTCTGTCTTAAAATTTTAGTCAACAATTTTACATCATTAATTTTTAATAAATACCTTTCATTCTCATATATCATTAAATCAACTTGTTTATTTTGTTTATCTAGTCGACATTTTTTTTCTCTTTTTTTCAGCATTCTTTTGCAGTAACTCACTGATTTGTGTACAAAAAATTATTAAAGTAATTTAAAGTAATTAAAGTAATGAAATTAAAATTTCGATATGAATAATTAGCTTAATTATTCAGAGTACATTATCAATAGTCGCTGCTATCAATGATCCAAAGTTGATCAAATTTAAAAAAAAAATGATGATGATGATGATGTAAAACAGAGAAAGCTTTGAAATAAAATGATTTTGAACAGGTAAGTTTACTGTTATATTTTTGGAACAGTTCAAATTAAAAGATGAATTTAAATTTTAGATGATGCAAATTGGTATTTAGATTAAATAATTGATTATGTAAACGAAAATTTTACTGTTTTTGAAAAAAAGTTCAAATATTTTAATCAAAAAAAAAAAAAAATTCTTATCATTTTATCAAATAGATGATTATTGATATTTCTTATAGCTAATTTTTTGTTTTTTGCGACATTATCAAAATAGAATTTTAGCTTAAACGAAACTTTAATCGTAATCAATCAAACAGTTTGTGATAAGATCAATAGAACAGTGGACAATCCGAATGTAACGATCGGTGTCACATATCTCACATTCAGTCTTATATTCCAGGTTTGTCTTTTTTTTTTTTAATTCAAATTTTAAATTCAACATTTTATCAAATAATTTAATAAGTATAACATTTCAATGTAAAGCATAGCGTAATGATAATTAGCTAAACTACTCTAAATATTTAGCTTTTAGCGAGAATTCTCATCGATCGAATGACAATTTAGAAAATTTTAAGATTGATTTAACAATCTATGATTACCTTATCAATAGATTACAGATGATAAACATTCTGTAACTGAACTATCGTATCATTTAAAGTATTTTGTGTAATAAGAATAAAATTTAACTAATGTCACCATTAATAGTTATACAAACTAAAAAACGAAAATTTTTATTGTGTAAATAAAAATTTGTAAATTAAAAAAAAAATAAGTAAAAATTTAAATAAAAAATTAAATGGCTAATTTTAGATTGCTTATTTGCCATGTTTTGTGACATTTTTACATCGTGATCAACGATGTCATTCATGTTTCAAATTAATGATTGTAATTGGTATCGTTGATATAATAACTACAAATAATGATTTAACAATTGTTGGATTTTATTCTATCATAGGAATTTCATATTGCACAGCACCAATTTTTTCCGCATTTTCTAATTTTATTTCCTTAAGTTAGTAATCAAAAATATATTTAATTTTTTTTTTTTTCTTTTCAAAAAATTTAAAATTAAACTTTAAGCACATGGATAGATTACTTTTTCCAGATAGCAACATTTTTATGCTTATATGTATTAAATTGAAACTTAGTTTTAACTTAATAAATGATAAAATTAAATTTTATAATATTTGTTAAAATTTTTTCACTTACAGCAAATTTTACAAATACTTTTTTCAGCATGTTGGTTTGCTCATTGTTCATTATGCATTCTTCTTAATTTTAATCGATGCTGTAATTTATATTTCGGAAGAACAGTGGTAAACATTCGATCATTATCCTTATGATAAGTTCAACTAATAACACTTTTTGAAATTTAAATTGAAATCATTAAAATGAATTCAAAAAGAAAAAAAAAAATTGATGCTAATACATATTCAGGAATGTTTCACAAAATCAAGATTATGGCTTTGGATTTTTATGGCATTCTTATATGCTCTTATTATGTATGCAATTTGTCCAGCTGGATTTTATCATAGTTATCTTGGCATCTGGCTTAATAAATCAAATTCAAATAAAACATTGGTATTTTTAATTTCAAATTTCATTTTTTTCTTTTTTCTTTATTAAAACTAAATTTTTTGCATTTTGGAAAGAAAATAGATTCTGAAATTAAAACTAACGGAAACTCTTATCTTCCCTATTGAATTAATCCTATATTGTTATTATTATAATATTTATGAACTTAACATAATTTGTAAAGTTTATGATATGATAATTTCTTATCACTTTTTTGATTACATTATCAGACGCTCAGTTTGCCTCATATGTTCAATAACGTTTGCGTTGTTGTTATCATTTTTGGACAGTATGTATTCATGGCAATAATTCTGCATCAACGATTACATTCAGTTTCTAACAGATCAATTAGAACAGAACCCAAACTATCTGTATGTTATTTATTTCAAACCTTAAATTTAATTAAGGATGCAAAGTTATTGGGTAATATAAGTTTAATGTAAATTTTCATTAATTCAAATAGAGTACATGGCAGCTTAGCTAATTTGAAAACAATTTCAGGTTTTTGTAACAATTTGATCAGTTTAAAGTTTAAAGTTTCAGTTTGTAATGATCAGAAGGATTTCAAATAACTAATTAAGCGTACTCCAAGTACCACTGTTGTTAATTTAATATCTATGTTTTCAGTAAAAAGAAGGTGACACAAAGTCTTATAATTATGATAAAACCACTATTTAATATCTTACAGTCATCCAAGTCACATAACCCACCCATCTTACAGTCATCCAAGTCACATAACCCACCCATCTTACAGTCATCCAAGTCACATAACCCACCCATCTTACAGTCATCCAAGTCACATAACCCACCCATCTTACAGTCATCCAAGTCACATAACCCACCCATCTTACAGTCATCCAAGTCACATAACCCACCCATCCTACAGTCATCCAAGTCACATAACCCACACATCTTACAGTCATCCAAGTCACATAACCCACCCATCCTACAGTCATCCAAGTCACATAACCCACCCATCCTACAGTCATCCAAGTCACATAACCCACCCATCTTACAGTCATCCAAGTCACATAACCCACCCATCCTACAGTCATCCAAGTCACATAACCCACCCATCCTACAGTCATCCAAGTCACATAACCCACCCATCCTACAGTCATCCAAGTCACATAACCCACCCATCCTACAGTCATCCAAGTCACATAACCCACCCATCCTACAGTCATCCAAGTCACATAACCCACCCATCTTACAGTCATCCAAGTCACATAACCCACCCATCCTACAGTCATCCAAGTCACATAACCCACACATCTTACAGTCATCCAAGTCACATAACCCACCCATCCTACAGTCATCCAAGTCACATAACCCACCCATCCTACAGTCATCCAAGTCACATAACCCACCCATCTTACAGTCATCCAAGTCACATAACCCACCCATCCTACAGTCATCCAAGTCACATAACCCACCCATCCTACTGTAGTGGAAGCAAAAAAAATGTTTTTGGAAACAAACCTTTATGATTTGGTTAAATTGTTATTCGGGGGAGAAGTTTGATGTCAGGGAGATGTGTTGGATGCCAGCTAAATATTTGGGCAACAATTGAATAAAACTGATTCGGAGGATTGGATGATTTAAAAAACAGATCTAATTGACAATAGTATGGTTATAAATCTACATTGATGTTAGACAATGATCCAAACAAAGGAGAGGAGGTGCTTGCATGGGCACCAGTTGCTAATAAAGAGCTTATTAGATAACCGCATGATTATGATAGCTAACAAAGAACAATGTAGATATCCTCATGATTGTAAGGATTGCTAACAAAGAACGATGTAAATTGTTTCAATATGTAGAAGCATAAATTTGGAAACAAAGAGTCCGAAGTATAAGCATTATTTGCGGAAATTACGTAGATATCTTTACTACAATTTGCAACTCATATTTTTAGATCGCGATATTAAAATCCGCGACACTCCCGACCGAAGGAGCTAAATGCTTTAGTTCGTTGGACAGCTTTGGTTGATTGCTTCGCCTTATAGCGCTTCTAGTTCGTAGGGCAATTGGTTCTTGTTCATTGACATTTTGCACTGATTTGTTAAACATTGTTGGTTGAGGGTCAATTTCCTCACCTTTGACTTCCAGTGGGTATAACATATTCACCGGTCTGTTGAGTATTTTTCCTTTCGGTAATTCTATCGAGACACTTCTCACTTCTCCATCCTTTCCTGTTTTGATTTCTCTTATTCTGGCTAGTTTCCACATGCCACGGGGAATTTCTGGTTCATTTAGTAACACAATCTCTCCCTCGTGGGGAGTTCTTTTTACTACATCTCTCGGAGAAGAGTGTTCCCTTTGTGCTCTTTCTTTAAGAGTATTTAAATATTCCTCTTTCCATATTTCCCAGAAGGCATCGAGGGCCTTTAGTGTATTTGACCAGTATTGAATGAGTTTTTCTCTCGAATCCAATTTATGAGGGATAAAATCATCCATTTCATTCTTGTTTTTAGCAGGCATGATTAGATGCGCATTCGGTAGTATAAAGTCAATTGGACGCAATATGATACAATCATCAAAATTTACGTAAGTTAGTGGTCGAGTATTCAAAATACTTTCCACTTCCGCTACTAGCGTAATCAATTCCCGTTCCCATAATAACTTTCTGCCGATGGCTCTTTTCATTGCCCTTTTTGTTAACCCAATAAGTCGCTCATATACTCCTCCGTTCCAAGGCGCCTTTGGTATTATATTTTTCCAGATCATTTTCCTTTCCGCTAGGAATTCATTTAATTGTTGTTTCACAATGATTTTAAAAATTAACTGGAATTGACCAGCGTTGTCGCTTAAGATTAATTCTGGAAAGCCTCGTCTTGCTGTAAATCTTCTGAAAACATGTAAAAAGCTTTCGGCTGAAAGAGTTTCTACTACTTCTAGATGTACAGCTCTTGTTGTGAAACATGTGAATAGTGCTACCCATCTTTTTGTTAGCCCATTATCACTCCTGATATTCACAGGACCTAAATAGTCTAGTCCTACTCGCGCAAAGGGTCTTGATCTTGTGGTCCGAGATGCTGGAAGATCAGCCATAGTTGGTAATTTGAATGGTTTAGTTGTCCAGCGTCTGCACTTCATGCACTTATTCAAGATTCGTTTGACTTCCGTTCTACCTTTTGGGATCCATATCGTCGATCTCAGATTTGAGAGTGTATGAGCAATTCCAGCATGATACAGTTGTTCATGTCGTTGCTGAATAAAGAGTTCAGTTATGGTGTTGTGTCTCGGGAGATATATTGGGTGTAAGTTACTCTCTTTCATTTCAGAGTTAACTACGCGGCTTTTGTATCTCCATAGTTCGTTATCATAGAACAAATTCCATTTGATTATTTCATCTTTGGTAACTCCTTCTGACTGTGCTTGTTTGAATAGCACAATTTCTGACAACTCGTAATCCTGTGTTGTCAATATATTCTTTTCTTTCGTTGCCATCTTTAGCCAAGGAATTTCCCTTTTCATTGTTAATCTTATGAATTTCAGAACCCAACCAGTTGTTCTTATTAATCTTGACCATTTGCTAAAACGACTAGCATCTAAGATTCCGAAATGTTTGTTTATGATAATTGGTTCTGTGATGTGGGCCACAATTTCTTCATCCTGGTAATCCTCATTGTAATTGTATTTCCACTGTGGCCATTTTGATTCGTTTTCTGTTAACCACTTTGGTCCTTTCCACCAAAGATCATATCCTTTTAGTTTATTCGGAGAGATTCCTTTTGTAGCTATATCAGCTGGGTTTTGTTCACTTGGGATATATCTAAAATGGATTTTCGCCTTTCGTATTTCTTCTACCCTATTTTGTATGAACGTTGGTAGTAAACGGGAACTATTGTGAACCCAATGAAGCGCACATTGAGAATCGGACCATAAAATTGTTATCACGTCCTCAAGCTCTTTTTGTTTTAATACGAATTGTACCATTCTCACTCCGATGAGTATTGCCAGTAATTCTAATCGAGGTATTGACATTCCTTTAATTGGCGCAATTCGGGATTTAGCAAACACTAAGAATACTTCTCTTTCTTGAGTTCGAATGTATAAAGCTGCTGAGTATGCAGCAGTTGATGCGTCAGTAAAAACATGAAATTGTACTTGCTTGGAACAATTTTTTGTGAATCTTGGTAGATCCTTTAGTTTCTTTGGCCATTCGTTCGTGAGTAATTTCCACGTGGTTTCATCTTCCTCACTTATAGTTTGATCCCATGAAAGGTTCTTTTTCCACAAAGTTTGGAGAAACAATTTGAATCTTATCAGTATAGGAACTATGAATCCTAGTGGGTCATATTGTGAGGCTACGAATTGCAATATAATTCTTTTAGTTAATTTCTTACCAAACCATGGTTTTAACGTTACTTGAATGATATCTTGTTTGTGGTACCAATTGAGACCTAGAATTTTTTTAATTGAACTTACCACTGCTCGATCTTGTACCGGAAGTTTTTCATTGACTTCTTGGTCGTTAGAGAGAAATTCCCGTACATTCATTGATGCTTCATTGAATATAATTTTAATTTCCTTATAATTGGAAAGAGCTTCGTTGGTTCCTTTGGTTGGTATTATAATGTTATCGACATAGAGATTTTTCCTTAACTCGAGTGCGATTTTGCTTTTACAAGTTTCCAAATGATAATTGAGTGTAGCGGACAATAAAAATGGAGATGATACAATTCCAAATGGAACTCGTTGGAAACGGTAACAACTTACGTTTTCTTCGTTAACTGGACTTCGAATGTCTTTCAACCAAAGAAATCGAGTGCAGTTTCTATCTGTTGGATGCAATTCTATTTGCAAGAACGCCTTTTCTACGTCTGCTATTATTACATTTTTCATTGTACGGAAACGTAGCAAAACTCCAACCAAATCAGGGAGTGTTATTGGTCCCCCGATATAAAACATCATTTAAACTTTTCATTCCTTTACAATGAGCTGATGCATCATAAACTATCCTCAGATTTGTCGTGGTTTTATTTGGTGTTATTACTTCGTGATGAGGCAGATAATGAATAATACCAACTTCATTCATTTCCGATGACACTTTCTCAATTATATTGGAATTGAGTTGTTCTTCAATAGTTTGATTGTATCGACTTAGTAATTGAGGTTTCATTTGAAGCCTCCTAATTAACGACTTTAATCTTCCAAGGCAAAGTCCGAAATTATCGCTTAGTTTGTTCTTTGAATCTTTCCAAGGCCAACAAACTTGATATCTTCCCTTGTCCCTAGTGATAGTTTGTTTAAATTGCTGCAATGCTTTTTCATCATTGTCAGAGTTTATTTTGTCTTGTATACCCATTAATTCCAGTTTCCAAAAGTGATCTAAGTCTGGAATATTGACGGCATTGACTTGAGAAATCGGACTTACTGATGTGGTTTCTGAAATACTGTCGTGTATTTCATTTATATACCCACTTCCAGCTATTATAGGTCCAACCTTTGTATGGATCAATGAAAATCCTGATTTTAAGTTCTCTGCTTGGTCAAACTGGATAAACTTGAAGAAGTGATCCGCACCTATGAGTATGTCCGGTTGTTTCCATTTGTTTTTTGAAATTACTAAACTGATTTCGTTTGTCTATCATCAACAATTCCTTTTTGTTTAGATTAACTACTTGCAATTCATTCGTCAAGTGGTTAACTGTTATTACATCTAATCGGATTATTTCTTTATTTCCAATTTTTACTCCGATTTCAGTTTTAGTAGTGATACACGTTTTTGGCGTCTTATCACCAAATGAAGCAATTTTTATTTCCATTTCGTTAGTTTCTTGTAGATTCAATCGATAAGCCAAATCCTTTGATATGAACGATAATTGAGAACCAATATCGAATAGAATTAAAGCCTTTTGTTGGATTTTTGGGCGATTTGGATTGGTTACATTTATTTCCTTACATAACAGTAAGGTTCGCTTTTTCCATTGATTTCCTTTTTCGGTAATGGAGTTAGCGATTGTGACTGAACCCAACCTTTCTTTGTTGGAATCCACTGCTTGCGTGAGTTCCTTGTAGTTGTTGGGACACAGTGCTGTATTGTGTGGACTTTTACAATGGAAACACAAAGGTTTCCCTTTTTTACAATCACTTGTTGCATGTCCTTTTCGTAAACATTTGAAACATGCAGTGATTTCTCTCAAACGTTCCATCCGGAGTTTGAGAGTGGGATAGATGTTACATTCATTGTTCCAGTGGTCCTTATTGCAAAATACGCATGGTTTCCTTTTCCCATTTATAGAAATTTTTCCTGGAACCTTTTTTTGATTTGATTGTATTATCTCCCTTTGTTTGGTTGATTGTGGCGAAAGCTGCCGTTTCGCCTCGAACATTATTTGTTT